TATATATATATATATATATATATATATATATATATATATATATATATGTGTATATAGTGTATATAAATATATATATAGTGTATATGTATTATTCTACCCTCGCTCTGGTTGCTAGCTAATTCAAAATCTTAGATATGAAGTAAGAAAAATGTTAACAAAAAATCCACTTGAAAAAGTTTAAGAACACCCATCAGAAAATATTTACAATATTTTGATTGTACACATGTGTTAATTTCTTATTCTTCTTAAAAAAAAAAAAGTAGTCGCTTAACCCAAGATGTCCGGCTGATACGACGGTTTCCCAGCCACCGCCAGCCCCCCGGGTGCCCAACCCTACCACCTAGGGCGCTGAGCGGGGTTGGCCCCGCTCCACAGCCGCGACATCGCGACTACTGAAAAATTTGCCTCAACTGAGCTCAATTTATGGGGTTTGCATCCAGACTCTCTGATGTCATCAATGACATCACAGGAAGCTTGTGTTTTTAACAGGATGCTTTGACAGGAAGAGTGAGCAAATACTTTAGGCAATGTAGTATATTAACACCATTCTAAACGTGCCTCAGTCTGCCTCCATTGAGGCCTTTGTCGACACCTGTAATAAGTTTGTCAGGCATTTTGCTGAAAAGGTTGAGTCGAATAGGTCATCAATTCTACACTCCACAGCCGACCCTTCAGTTCTTGTCTCCTGCTCAGCAGTCTTCAGTCACTTTGACCCCATCTCACTCTCATTTTTAAATGAGGTCATTGACCACATGAAGCCCTCCGGCTCCCCTGCTGATCCCATCCCTGCTGCATTTTTTAAACAGGTTCTACCGTCAACTGGACCCTCTGTTCTTGCCATAATTAACAGCAGTTTGGCTACAGGTGTGGTCCCCGATGTTTTAAAACATGCGGTGGTAACTCCATTACTTAAAAAACCCGGACTTGACCCTGCAGCTTGTTCAAACTTCAGGCCAATCTCAAAACTTCCATTTCTTTCTAAAATCTTGGAGAAAATAGTTTTTAGTCAACTAACCAAGTTTTTGAATGTAAATGGAATTTTTGAGATTTTTCAGTAAGGGTTTAAACAACTGCACAGCACAGAGACAGCTTTAGTAAGGGTCTGTAATGACATTCTGCTAGCGAATGACTCTGGTCAGTCTGTGATCCTGGTACTCCTCGATCTTACCGCTGCATTTGACACAGTTGATCACAGCATCCTTATGTCACGGCTAGAACACTGGGTTGGGATTACAGGGGTGGCGCTAGAATGGTTCCGTTTGTATCTGGGTGACAGGAGTTTCTGTGTTAACTTTGACAATCATTTTTCTGCTTCTGTCCCTCTTTCCTGTGGGGTCCCACAAGGCTCCATTCTTGGACCCCTTCTGTTCTCATTGTATCTGCTCCCCTTGGGGTCAATCCTGAGGAAACATGGTATTTCGTTTCACTGTTACGCCGATGACTCTCAGATCTATCTACCTTTAAAACCAAACAGTTCTTGCTCCATTCTCCCTTTGCTAAAATGTCTTGATGACATCAAGACTTGGATGGCTGCAAACTTCTTGAGTTTTAATGATCAGAAGACTGAGGTCATTGTGTTTAACCCAAGCTCTGCCACTGTCACTGATCCTGTAAACCTGCACTCCCTTCAGCCTCATCTAAAGCAGTCAGTTACCAATCTCGGGGTAGTGTTAGACTCTGACTTTAAGTTTAATAAACAGATCAACTCTGTTCTACAAAAAAGCTTCTTTCAGCTAAGGCAGATAGCAAAGCTTAAGTCCGTTCTGTCCAGATCCGACCTTGAAAAAGTAGTCCATGCATTTATTACTTCCCGGCTGAACTACTGTAACTCACTTTATGTTGTGGTTAGTCAGGCTTCACTTTCACGTCTCCAGCTCGTACAAAATGCTGCAGCTCGGCTTTTAACAGGAACTCGCAGTTTTGAGCACATTACTCCGGTTCTATCCTCTCTTCACTGGCTTCCTGTACGTGTCAGAGTTGATTTTAAAATTCTCCTGCTGAAATTCAAGTGCATTAACGGCCTTGCACCATCATACCTCTCCGACCTTCTTCATCCTTATACTCCTTCTCGGGCTTTGAGATCATCAGACCAGTTGCTTTTGGCCGTACCAAAAACCAGGCTGAAGCTCAGAGGAGATCGAGCGTTCTCAGTCGTGGGCCCTAAACTTTGGAACAATCTACCCATCAACATTCGACAGGCCACCTCAGTCTCTGCTTTTAAATCTCTCCTAAAAACACACCTGTACTCATTGACATTTAACACAGGGTGATCAGCTTTAGATCTGGTTTTTCATTGATGCTGATTCTGTTTATGCTTTTGTTATTATTCCTATTTAACACAATGGTCATCCAATCTGATTTAGTATTTCATTGTTTCTGACTGAGTTTATGCTTTTTGTTATTATTTCCTTGACTTTTGACACAACGTGATCTGATTTAGTATTTCAGTGTTTCTAATTGTTTTTGGTTTTATATTTTTATTCCATGTGCTGTAAATATATCTTGCTACTTTTTATCTGATGATGTGATATTTTTGTTAAGCACTTTGGTAACAGTTTCTGTTTTAAATGTGCTCTATAAATAAATCTGACTTGACTTGACTAATAGAGGAACAAATGTAAACATTGTTTTTAGCAATACCGCCTTCAGCCTGCGGGGGGCGCTCAACTCTACAACCCACCAGACATGACCGGAAGTAGCGCAGCTCTACAGCAATGTTTGCTAAAAGTAGTAGCTTGTTAGCATTGTGACTGTCCACACAAGTTTCTCTGCAAAAAATGTCTTGAACGCATCATAAAACACGGCCGAAATAAGTTTTTTTAATATATTAAAAAAAAGGAGAATTAGCATCAAGATGTCGGAGAAAAAGCGATCAAGAAAGAAGGAGCACGAGGACAGACGACACCACAAGAAATCCAAGACGTCCAAACATGACATGGAAAAACACCAGACACAGACGAAGAAACTCAACCAACAAGTTCAAAAACTGAAACACATCGAGACTTTGTGAGTAACCCTGGCCAGAAAACGTGTTAGGAACACGCGCACGACCACTTTTAAAATGCGGCTTAATGTTTTAGAAAAAAATAACTCTCGTCTTTTGCAGCTACGAGCAGCCTCCACCAGGTTATATAAAGGTAAAGATTAGCGGACTGCAAAATGCAGAGACTGTATACGTGGTTTAAAGTTATTTTCGAGGCATCTTGGCGTTGTTAACAAATGATTTGTGTTGCAGGAGTATGAGGAGAAACCAGAGGATTGTATTCCTGAAGAAACGGGGAATGAAGACGCCAGAAACTTCCTGGCTCACGCCCCCACCAAGGGGCTCTGGATGCCTCTGGGGAAGGAGGTGAAGGTGATGCAGTGTGAGTATAATAATAGTTATATGTGTCGTCACTGTATGTTCCCATAAAAAGGCGAAATTGGTTCTCTGCGTTTAACTCTTCACACCTGGGATGCACGCAGGTGGAGCAGTGGGCAGCTATGTGGGCGCTCGGGGAGCAATTGGGGATTGGGTGTCTTGCTCAGAGGCACCTCGACATGTGGGAATGGCTGGGGATCGAACCTGGGGCTTTAGTCTCAGGTCAGCTGCCCTGCCTCTATCCCATCTCAGCCCCCAAATAATTGTCTGATTTTTATTGTGTGTTTTTGGATTTATATAAAGAGAATTAAATAATTGTTTTACAGTTGCACACCTAATAAGATGTTTAACTCCACCTGATACTTCTGCAATGCTGAAGCCTGGGTACTGGTAGAAATGATTACTTGTTAATCAAACTATCTATGAGGCAAACACAGCTGTCTTCTGTCAAGATGCCTTACAAGCTTTACTGCAACACATTGGACGTTATATTTGACAGCAGGTTTTTTACCTGTTCCATTCCGAACACTGTTCAATGTAATACTCGGCATATCAGTCATTTTTTTCTTTTTCATTTATTGGTGGATATAAATCGCATATCCAACTTTTAGTCATCTTACTCGGCACGGTTTATAAACTGTATTAAATAACTCTAAAAGTCAGATATGTGTATTTGAATCATAGAATTTATTTTGTTGTTTTCAGGAGGGGAAATGTCTCTAGGGTGCCGTTTGTCACGGTTCTACTTCTTTTTCAGCCACTTGAAGTCCCTCGTCGCTGAGCGAAAAAGGAGAATTGAAAAAACTGTCCATCCATGAATGTTGAGCGCGATAATCTGAAAAATAAGTGAGGTAGTAACGTCCATTTTTGGTGTGTGACTACCTCCAGATGTAAGAAATGTTCCTTTCAAAAACGAGGTTGCAACTTCAAAATCTATACACATGCATACTGGTACATGTACACACATACATACACACGCGTAATGTAAACCAGCCACCATCATTTAAGGAAAATGTTCTTTCTAATTTTTATATTGTTTAAAAGTAAAGTTTCATCTAATGATTGTGGTGGCCGGTGGCGCCACCATTGCACCCAGTGGTAGATAAAATTGCTCCCTCCACTTCCCAGTATCCATTATTTTGCACCACCTCAGACAAGTAAAAATAAAAAACTGCCTCTCTTCTTCTACACAGTGTAGCTCCTACACACTTGAATATCTTGCATCAAAACATTAAGGTTTACTTGCAGTCTCTTGTTTGATTCCAGGCCAGAAAAACGCTCGTCTTGCAAATTACAAACACTCACTTTTCAAATCCTTCAGGGACGGGGGACATCGGCATACCGCTTGTTTAACACTGTAGATGTCATTTAAATGCTTTAAACACTCAAAATATGCTTAGTCGTAAAGTTAGAACTTAACTCATCGGTTGGAAAAGTAATTTGGCGTCCGTAAGTCTGTAGCGGTCTGATGGTGATTAATCCAGCCACAAACCATGTACACTTGTAACTGAGCTGTAGAAATTACCGTCTGTTATGCTGACACGGTAACGGCTGCCATTATACTCCGTGTCCGTTCAATTCTTCATCCCACACGTCGTCCTGCTGCTTGAACAGTCAGAGACTTGAAGAAGAAGAAAAACGCACAGAAGGCCCAACACCAAACTGTTCTGAAGAATCTGAGCGTGACTGTTTTTTTTACTCAATCCTTTGAGAATACATTTACATATTTTTTTTTCCTCTCCTGCCTAAAGGGACAAAAAGCGTTCTGTGATATTTGTTAATACCTAAAGTGCAGCACGTTCAAACGGTGTGAAACTTTTACAGAACTCCTTCAGTTCTTGTTGGTAGAAAGTGTCCGGTCTTTGATAATGAGCCGTGGGTTTTGCGTCTCATGAGCAGCATGTTTTCAGTGCACGCCTTCGACTTTTTGGTCTTTTCTAAACCAAGCGTAGCCTTCATTTGCACAAAGTTTTTATTTTGTTGGTTCAGTTGGAGGCAAGCGTCAACTTTTAATCACGACTAATGAGCAGAATTACATTTACAGACATGGATCGTCTGTTATAACGGCTGATCATATTGTTATTTTCTGTTCATGGTAACAACAGATGCTCGAGGACTTTTTATTTTTTTCGAGCCACTATTTTTATTAATAAAAAAGGCACTTGAAGTAATAGTTAACTTGTTTAAAATGTTGCTAACCTGCCAAAATGTGCACAGTGTTATTCATGTTGCTGACAAAAATATATATTTCTGTTGTTTTTCTACAGGTTGGAGATGCAAGCGCTACGGACACAGGACAGGGGACAGGGAGTGCCCTTTTTTCATCAAAGGCAACCAGAAACTGGAGCAGTTCAGGGTGGTGAGTTTTTATTGAACAACAACAAAAAGTCATAAATAAGATCAAAGGGTTAGATCGGGGGTCCCCTAACTTTTTTGCACCACAGACTGGTTTTATGCATAACTATTTTTCCACGGACCAGCGGCAGGGGTGCAAGTCTGTTGATAAGGTGCATCGTATATACAGTATTTTAATCATAACATCTATTATATTGAAGATGATTGGTTTTCCAAATAAAATATGATTCATACTAACGGAAATAGAAACAAAGTTTCTAAATAAAACTTTTTTCTTTCTACGAGACCTGGTACCAAATGAGCCAGGGCTCGGTACTGGTACCGGCCAGGTGGTAGGGACCCCCTGGGTTTGATGGCCAAAGCTGAAGTTTGGATATGTGGGATTTACACACAGGGGCTGCAGTCTTAACACAACTTGCTCAGTTTTCAGCAGGAAGGAACGTCCGTGCAGGAGCACTCAGCCTCCGCATTGATTACCATAAATGCAGTTTTGCCATTTTTACATCTTTTGTAACCATCTGAATAATCCTAAAAGTGCTTACGTAAGACTGTTAGGGAATATGCTGTTCGGACATTTTTTGGAGAGACTGTGGCAATTCTTTTTATGTTTTAATATTTCAGGCTCATGAAGATCCGATGTACGACTTAATTCGAGAAAACAAACGAAATGAAAAAGAAACCAGGTATGCACGAGTTCTCCTTTGCTTTGTGTCAAATACGAACAACTATATCACTGAGCAAAACAACATTTTTATTATAAAACATTAAAGGGGGAAAGGCATTTTTGAGGCTGCAATCAATAGTCAAAATCATCCTCCACTCGAGAACTTTCAGTTTTTGACTGTTGCCCTTCAGTTGGAGTTGGACAATCTCAGTTGACCTGGAAACAATCTCACGGTGGTTTGCTCCCTGCGCTGGTTTTTTAACAAATCGGGTTTGACACCAGGATGTTTGGATGTGAGGTTAGTGCACCATGAAGGCTCTGTAGGGGTGTTTGTGTTTGTGTGTTTCAGCTTGCGTTACAAAAAGGTTATTTAAAGGCCAGACGTATTTTGAAGTTTAAGTTGCGTGTCTGTGCCACATTAGTTTTGGCATTTTACTTTGAAAGGGAGGTGAAACAAGCTAACTGCGCTTGGTTTGTTGTTTGACTGCACATAGTGTTTTTTTCTTGAGTTATGTAAAAAAACCAAAAAACAGCATTTTTCCTATTAAGTTATTGCAGCACAGCAGTTGAAAATGGTTCATTTTAGATTTGTATCTTAATTTGGTTGTTTTCCATATTTTACACCCCCCCCCCCCCCCCCCCCAATTTTTAACAACTATTTAAGATATTTTGAGATGTATTTGTTCATATAATGTAAATAGTCTTAATTCTCTGTGTTTAAATTTAAATATTGTAACATTTTAAATAATCAATCCATGAATTGTTTATGTCAAATGTTACAGTATTTAAATTGTAGAGAAGAGCAGCACATCCCTTCAGCTCAGCACGGAGCAGAAATGTACTTCTTGATCAATGACACTGTAACAACTGAACATACAAGTTCTAAAATAATAAAAAAAAATGTCTTAACACTTTTATGTTTTGTGCTTATGACTATTTTACGATGTGACATACTTTGAATTTTAAGTTGGAAGACAAAAATCGATTGCTTCTGGACAGCAAAGGGTTAACCCTTCACAAAGCTGATGCAGCAGGAGTGATGTGTGTGTGGAAGAGAGAGGAGATCATGCCATGCTTCCCCCTGCACTTGTGAGCTGCACACAGGTGCAAAAACATTTAAAATAATTTATTTTAAATAAACAATCCATGGCTCATCCTTCAATCAGCCAACTGTAAATGGTAAATGGACTGTACTTATAAAACACCTTTCTATCTTGTGAAGACACTCAAAGTGCTTTACACTACAATCTTTGCCCTAATTTATCCATTCATACAGCACTCTACTAGATCTCTACAAAGCTAATTGAACAAATCATTCTAAAGAGACTAATCAGTGCTTTGTGTCCAATCTTATTTTGAAAAACCGCAATATAGCGAATCCGCAAAAAACGAACCGCGAAGTAGCGAGGGACAACTGTACTGCAGGTGAATCCCTTCTTTTTGCAGACTTCATACAAATAAGCTCCTCTGTCATAAAGTGGTGAAACTCCAACACAAATGTGTGCACACAGGTTTTTTAAGGATCTTACAAAGCTACATATATAAGCTGCTGAAGTGAGCCACAACTCGAATCCTGTTCCTGAGCTAGTGAAGCTTCAGACGTCGTCGGTAGTGACATCACTATAACAACACAGGACTGGTTACATGCGTCACTAAAGACTTCTGAGGTTTCTCGACGTGCTCCGAAGCTTCGGCACAAAAGAAGTTGTCACTACTGGCTATTACTGTACTTGCCGCCGTACGCGTCGCACCGCCGTATAAGTTGCATCAGTCCAAAAATGTCTAATGAAGTGTGAAAAAAGATAAATGCATCGCTTCGGCGTATAAGTCGCATCTATTATGCATCACCGCTGACGCGTCGCGTTTGTTACGCGTCACCATTGACAACCCGGAAATGTGGGCTGGTGTACCAAAAATCAGTTGGCTGCCAAATGGCGGCCGTGGGAGCATGCACGGGAGGACTTTTAACAACAATTTAGCAAGATTAACACTTAAAAACAATTATTTGTTTGCGCGAAATTCTAGTAAAGTTGTGTCTCAGTTGATCTTTTCCTTAATAAATGCACTTTGACGGTTAAATCAGCTGCATTTCGCCTCGTTCGCTCCAGGAGTTCTGGAGCAGGACGAAGGTGGCTTTATATGGCAAGCCACATGTCTCATTAATAGCCACTTTTACCTATTAATGAGACACTTGACATGCCATATTATTCAAGGGCCCTCTAGTGGCTGAAAATGGTAGTGTTCAATATTTTCCATGTCAGAATGAATGATATTGTCAGATCTCAGATAAAAATAGTTATAAATATGGGGGAAAAAAATAAATGCATCGCTTTGCTGTGTAAGTCGCAGGCATGCTAATTTATGCAAACAACAGTGACTTATACAGGGAAAATTTATGTACTACTATCTCAAAGAGCCTCTGCAGCATAGGGCTTCAGATGTTAAAGGATGTGAGTTAGCGCAGGAAGCACCGCCGACTCTGACCTTTTTTTTTTTGTTTGTTTGGGATGAGTTCCAGCACCAGGCGCTTGTATTCCTGCGCAATCTCTGCTTTAACTAATGAACAGGGGAATGGTTTGAGGTAGGGCACTTCTCAGGTCCACCACCAGTTCTTTGGTTTTGTTGAGATTTGGCCACAGCTGATGTAGCTTAGGTTTTACTTTGCCCAGCTGAATGTGCTGAGGTGGAGGTCTGATTTTAGTTTTGTAGATAAATCAAATTATGTCACTGGTAGTCGATGTAATTAATCCCCTGCAGGTGGTGATGTGTCATTTAACAAATCGGTGACCTCCCATTGTACCCATTAATGAGTGATTGTAGAAGAAATGCCAACATAATGGTCTTCAGAGTCCAAAAAGACATTAGCAAGCACTTTGTGGAACACAGATAAGGGTAAAAGGTGCTGCATAAGTGTTTTCCCTTTCACTCCTCTATTGAATCAGACTGTTTATAAAGAATAAAGCTTTTTAGTTTTGAGATTTTCTTTCAGGGAGACAGAGTGGAAAATGTGAGCTATTACAGGCATCAGAAAAATGTATAATTGTGCCAGAAATAATCAAATGTTTAAACAAAATCCTTTATTTATATTAAAGAGGTTGTTTTTGTTTACTGCATGTGTCTTTGCCTTTATGTGCAGCCAGCCCAGTTTTTAACTGGTTGTTAAAACATGTTTCTTTTATTAGTTTGTTGCCAGATAAGCCACTTTAATTTGTACCTGAAGCATTGTTTTTATTTACTTTCACTGCAGAAAATCACCTTTTTAAATTTCATAAGAAAATATGTTTGAAACTTAGATTATTGTGTAGTCTTTACTTTGAGCTCTAGAGACGCCCTGATGCTTCTGTTACCATCCCTCTTGATGCTCTAGTTAACGGCCATGTTCTTCACCCACTCTGATGCTTGACTTTCTTCAGTGTCCGACATGCTCAGTTCTGTATTGAGCGGTGCGGCGCCTTCTCTCTTGACTTTTGAGGAAGCGATCAGTGAGATGGTTTGTTTTGTCCACCAGGTCTTCTTCACCAGGCTGCTGGTGTCTCCTGGAGTTTGTTGTTTTGGCATATAGCTGCTACATGTGCTACTGAAGTTGTTGTTTTGTTTAGTAGTAAGGCTTAAATTGCAGTTGGCATCAATTCACCAAAAGGTTTTCGTGGGTTGATGTGAATAAACGGGTCTGTTGGATAGAATATTGTTCATTCAAGTAAATGTGTATTTTAGAGATTTCTCAATCCTGGTCCTCGAGGGCCACCATCCTGCATGTTTTAGTTGTTTCCCTGCTCTTCAGCTTGTCTAGAAGTTCTGCAGAAGCCTGTTAATCGCTCATTTATTCAAATTGGGTATGCAGGAGCAGAGAAACCAAACATGCAGGGTAGTGGCCCTCGAAGACCAGGATGAGGACCAGTGGTGCATTAGTTTGTTTTTCACCTCATCATTTTGCACAAAACTGTTTTTTGTTTTTTTTAGTCAAACACCTTTTGTGTATCTTCATTGTTTTTACTTCTCGTTTATCTCTAACAATAACTTCCAACCCATCATCTGAGTCCTCAGCACTTGTTGTCTTGCTAATTGACTCTTAGCAAGTGTAACCTGACATGTAAACGAACTGACTGAACTCTTTAGGAAAAGGCAAATTGTCTTCACTTTTATTATAAATTTCATGCAGGAGCTGTAAATCTTGCAAGACATTTTTTCTGTTTTGTCCATATTGGGATCATTCTTAACTGCTGCCCATTGCAGGTAAGATACTGTCTGCTTATAACCATACCAGCCAGCCCCATTCAAAAACAACAAAAAAGGAAATGTCCCTTCTAGGTAAGAGAATGACGTCAGGATTTACGCACTTTTCAGTGTGTTCTTGGCTCCACTGACGTCAACATTTTTAACATTTACCCGAGGGATCCCGTAGTTACTAGAAGCAGGCACTGCGAACCTCACAGTCCTTAGATGCCAGAATGTGGACCAGTGTGGAGTGTAACCAGTTGGATTTTCCTCCCCAGACTTGACACTAACACCTCCTATCCTCTCCTCCTCACTGCTTATAGGATCCAGCAGCTACAGCAGCTGCTTCAGGACACCACCTCCTCCTCCGACTCAGACAGCTCGTCGTCTTCATCCTCCTCAGGCCACAGTCGCAAGAAGAAGAGAAAAAAGGACAAGAAGAAGAAAAAGAAGAGGAAGAAGCGAAAGCACAAGTCCTCCAAAACTAGTGACGTGTCAGACTCAGATTGAGTCTTTATCAGTTTAAATAATCTAAAAGTAGGACGAGACTTTAAAAAGAACAGCAGCGGCTAGATGCTATCAAGGTGAAACTCCTGGTCAAATGGTGGGGCTGTGCCTTGGTGTATACTGGTTTGAAAAACAGCATGAGCATAAATCTTTAAAAAATAGTCTTAATTTTTCTAAGATAACTTTTTCTGTTAGAAGAATGCATCTGGAAATATCACGTAAAGATTGTTTGTTACACCGTTTTATATCAGCAGCGTTATTACAATGTAATTGTAGCATATTTAATCCACAGAAATGGTTGGAATGTTTTGAACAAACGCCTGAATGTTAAAAAGGTAAATTGACACGGATGTAATAAGTTGAGGTTTGAGTTTACTTATTTGTACTGAAAAAAAAAACAAGAGAACTGAATGTATGTGAATAAATCCATTTCCTGTAAACTATAAATAAGTCTTGTTATTTTTCTTCCCAAGTTCAACCATAAATTGACAGGAAAAACAGGTTTTATCTTTTAGTCCTGCGCTGGATTCAGATCGTTTTAAAATGGTTATTGCCTGGTAGTTTAAACATTTTAGTGTTTATTTAAATATGTTTTCCACTCTTTAATCTTCACATTTTTAAACAGTTTTCCTTCGACGACTTATGAGATGACTTCTGTTGTGATTTGGCGCTATTAAAAAAAAAGTGAATTTGAACAATGTTCAGTCAGGGCATCTGGATGTTTTTTTTTTTTTTTTTCCTGCTGAGACATTTTTTCCTTCATCCAAAGGACTTCTTCATTCCGAGGAGCCACAAAAAACTGAGTCCCACAAGCACCACAATCCTATAGTGGACCAACCAGTTTGCTGGTGATAAGATGGTTTCTGGGGCACCCTCTCCCCCATCAACTCCTCTAAGGCAGCCACAGCCAAAGTGGTTCAAAACACCAAAGTTCATGCTCAATAATCCAGGTATAAATCAAACAATCTTCAGGTCATCTGGATTTTTTTTTTTTTTTTTTTTTGCTGTGACGTTTCATCCAAAGGACTTATTTAGGCTCATCTGGCTGAATAAGTACTTTGGATGAAGGACAATGTCTCAGGGAAAAAAAAAAAAAACACGTCCAGATGACCTGAAGATTGTTTGATTTATTCCTGGATTATTGAGCATGAACTTTGGTGTTTTGAAGCTGAATTGAATTTATCAAACTGACCAAAGGGAGGACAGACTGGCGGCCCACCTCCTGCTACAGCAACACGGTTCAACTTGTAGGACGCATTTGAGGAAGTTTTGGCAACTTTTCCTTTACAGGCAACATGTCTCCCCGTGGAAATAAACTGAAAACATTCCCTCTTCCTAATGACCCTGATAGGAAGACAATTACAGTCGACCCACAGGGAACCAGATTTCCATTTAGATTCGAGTCTTGAGTTGTTCCAACAGCTGTGGGGACTGAAAACCGTGCGTTTCAGTGAGGAATTTCATCAAAGCCTGACCGATAACACAGTCAGGAGAGCAATCTGGGTGCAGATTTCTGCACACAGTTACAATTTATACTTTCACGCTCTTCTTTAGGCGTGTACTTTCCGTGGCAGCTTTACGTCTTGCGCTCTGATTTGCCACTGAAACAGCAAAGGTGCCCTTCAGCCACGATAAACCTCTAAAGAGTTTCAGCCACAGCTCAGAGGGAGTCGTCACATGGAGAGAGTTTGGTCCAGTGGAATGTTTTTATTGAAGCACTCTGTCATTTTGGATGAGAGGCTGGTCAGACTCCACGTCCCCACCATGACGCAGTTACAACACAGTGCAGACTGAAAGAGTTTGGACTGTTCTGCAGCCTGGTTGTCAAGTTTGTCGAGGGAAAGACATGACCACACAAATTAGCTCCCTAAACCGCTGCCTATGGAACGTTAAAGTTAAATAAAACTAGACAAATTGAATTTCCTGCGAAAATGCAGTGTGAATGCTTATTGTTGACAAACTTGCTTAAAAAAAGGCTGACATTGTCTAGTAAAAACATGCTGAAATGGAAGAACAAGCCAAAGTTAGCAGAAGAAAGCACATATTTGTTGAATTGTGTTTAAGCAGAAAGGAGCAAAAAGGTTGAAAATTTGCTAAAAATGCTGACATTGGCATACGAAAAGGCAGAAAAAAGCTTAACTACAAGAAGGAGCTGAAATGAGCTGAAAAAATATGAATTAGCTGAAAAAGCTAAATTTAATACAAAAACAGCCAAATAGTAGCTGAAATAGCAGAAAAAGCTGAAACTAGCAGAAACAAATTGAATGGAGCATAAGCTGAAATTAGCTGAAAGGCATTATTTAGGCTGAAATTAGCTGTAATTATCACAACAAACTTGAATTTATCTGAAAACACCTGAAAATATCTTAAAAATGCTAAAGTCAGCTGAAAATGTAGAACTAGCTTAAATTAGCATAAGTGGAGAGAGAGAGCACAAGTTTGTCCAATTAGGCTGAAAAAAGCAGAAATGAGCACAAAAAGTGGAAATTTTCTGGAAAAAGCTGAAATTAGCACACACAAAAAAAAACAGCTGAAAAGTAGCTAAAAAGGCAGAAAAAAAGCTTACATTGCCAGAAGGAAATGGAGAGAACACAGTTTTGTTGAATTACCCTAACCTGAAAAAAAAGTTTAAATGAGTTCAAAAAATGTGGAATTTTGTTGTGTGAATGCTTCATAAACATTCACACAACAAAAAATCTTGCATGGAAAATGAGAAGAAGCACAATTTATTGATGAGCAGGAAAACTTTACATCTTTTATTATTTACAGTGAAGACAAGCAGAACTTTGAAGGGATCACCACCAGACTAATTCCCAGTAAGCCTTGAAAAATAGGCAGTTTGCAGCTCAGAAAATAAACTTTTGGAACAATCTATGAAAATGAGCTTTTGTATTATAGGAAGTAAAGAACAGCTGATTCCCTGTTAGACCCCTTCATCTGGTAAACCTGGTGGGGCCTGTGCTCTGCTTGAGCCTGTCTGATAATTGAACTGGCACAGCTGCATCAATTGTTTGGCCACTGACAGAATGGAGGCAGGATGATATGGAGGAGACTTCTGTGCACTCAGGTTCAGCCAAATGCATACAAACTATTTTTTTTTCTCATCCTGCAGGAATAACTTAAACAGCTTAAGCAACCAAAGAACTTTTCCAGATGATGATTTAACAGAACGTGCTTTACAAAGACAAACTACTCAGGACCTCAAAGTGGCTGCAGCCAAAATTTACTTGACTTGCAGTTTAGAAGTTTTTATGTATTTTATACTGGTACCCATGGTTTTGTCTGTAAGGAAATGGGCTACAAAACATACAGTAAATGTAACAAATGTATAATATAACATGATAAAATACACTACGCAAAAAAAAGGAACATATTAAAACATGACATTATGTGGCATGTATATGGTATGACGCAATATGTTAATATAGACATAATGCAGTCGTATAAAATACAATACAATGTGTAATATTTGATATGTTTATTACATTTTACAATAAAATCTGCTACAATAGGATGAGATGTAGTAAAGTATGTTATATTATGATGTGATACTATACATAATATAGTATATGATATTAAATGATACAGTATTATACAATATGATATGATACAAGATATGAGGCATTACGGTTCATTCCAATATGTCTTTTTTTTTTTTTTTTGGAAAGGTAATTTTCCATCACATTCTTTAATTACAGCTTTAGTCATTTAAGGTTATATATAAGAATGTGGGCAAAAAGTCCAAATTAATTTTGTCCATGTTGCCTTTCTAATGTTTTTTTAAATTTTTTTTTATAGAACAATATTAAAAATAAAGAGATGAACAAAGCTGGGGGGGGCGGGGCACCACATCAAACCATAAAAACAGTAAGAACAAAGGACCCAATATGTCTTTTAATACAATACAAAATATGATACTATATACTGTATATGTTATGATGTATATAGAATTAATGGATACAGTAGAGGTTAGAGAAGCTGTACCTGTGATCGGAAGATCGCCGGTTCAAGCCCCGGTACTGACAACATCAAAAATGTGGGTGTGGTAGGTGAAGCACCCACACCTGCCCCCACCCTCATTCGTCCCACTCTGGGCCCTTGAGCAAGGCCCTTAACCCCCACCATCTGCTCCTCCGGGTGTCCTAAATAGCAGCTCTCTGCTCCACACAGAGGACTGTGGTAGCTCGGTGGTCTGTGGTTGCGTCAGGAAGGACATCCGGCAGTAAAAATAACTGCCAAGTCTTTGTGCGACTTGGTTCGCTGTGGCGACGCTCAACACAAGGAGCAGCCGAAAGAAGAAGAAGGAAAAAACAACAACAACATAATAGTGCATATACAAAATAATTATGATTTATGGTGTTATATAGGATTTGATATATGATATAAGGTTCAATAAAATAAATATAAGTGAAATACTAAACAAACAGATGTAGGAGATTAAGAACTTGGGTATTCAACATTTTTCAGTCAGGTCATCTGGACAGTTTCTTTTTTTGTGCTGAAACGTTTCACCTTCGGACCAGAAGGCTTCATCAGTCAAGGAAACACAACAAAACTTGGGAATTATTTAGCGATGTATAATTTATTTTATTTTATTTTTGTAATTCACACCTGATGAGTCATGTAAAGGTTTTATATGAAAAAATGGATCCAAAGCCAGAGGAATGACAGAAATCCAAACATTAGAGCAACTCATTTAGTGCTTACCTAAAACAAAAACATCTGAACCCAGAATACTTCTTTGCGTTTTATAAGATGTAGAGATCTGCTGTTTTACATTTAAGTCTTCACTGTACTGAACATATAGTTATTTTGAACTTTATAGGCATGCTTGATAATATTTTCTCTCTTTACAGTCACAGATAATTGGATCATATCATCTGTAAGCTGCTAAATGTGTCCCAGATGCATAGATCATTATAAAAAAAAAAAAAAAAAAAAAACTTTGTTCAATTGTTTTGAAATAAAGTAATTCTCTTGTACTCTGTGAACTGCTTTTGTTTGCACATCAAATGAATGCAACCCTTGCTCAGAAAAGTTTCTTATGTAACTGAAAACTCAACAATTTTGTTTTACCCTCAACATGCACAGAATATTTTCTTAGTCCTGCTCCTGGATCATTCCTGCTTGCTTTCACAACCTGTGGCTCCAGCTAAAATTAACAGTTTAGCTGGAGCCACAGGCTGTCATTAACATAAGCAGAGCTTTGCATCTTGTGCTTTATTATTTTTTTTTACAGAGAAAGAGAAACCCAGACTGAAAGAGGGACTGGGGTGCTCTGCAGGGTGTGCCGCTCCAGATTATTTAGCAGCATGAACAGGGCTCCTGGATAATCCTCCTCCTGCTGCTCCTGCTGAGTGAAAGCAAGGATGAGCACCAGTGCTGTCTGCGATTCACCGCTTCTCTTTCAGCACACGCCAAGGGTTTAATATCACCAACAGCAGGTT